GGCCGTGGTCCAGTTGAAAGTGCAGGTGGAAGAGAGAGGTGAGTAGCTTGAATAAAGCGACATCAATTCATTAACGGATTCCACACAAAGACGTAAACACAGATGCATCAGAATCAGCTTTGTCTTTCTCGGCTGTCGGAGATTAGCGATTCTGATGCGTCAGGTCCACTCTGTGTTTACGTCTTTTTTGCACTGATTCTGAGCTGCAGGTTTTGTCTCTCTCCAACCAAAATTTGCCGAGTCAGCAGCAAAAGAAGCAGCAAACTACGCTTCACATTTGATCAATGTTGTCATGAATTCCCTCTGACTTTTGTTGTTTTGCTTCCACCACGATAAAAATCACACTTCATGCACAGCTCTCTCTCTGTGTGTACTTCAGGAACAGTTTCCCGTCTCAAATCTCTGTTTTCTGCATTATTCATTCGCTTATTACCCACCAGTCCACCGTTGTTTACAGTGCTATCTTTTTCTTTTTTCACTTAAATGACCTTGGACAAGAAAGCCTAATTTCTGCTGTTCAATACTGAAGAAATGTAAACTTCTTAAAATTATGCAAAATTACAGAATATTTTTAAGGTTATCTGCTATAAAAAGCCAGACCAGGGAAATCTCCTTCATGTTTTTCTGTGTTTTATTCTCAGTTACTTTCACACAAAGGCATCTGTTGTGATGTTCACAATTCTGATGAAGTCTCACATGTATCAGTACTGATAAATGATCAGAATTATAATATTGCTGACTGTCTGAGGCTAAATTGAATCAAATCAGGAGATTTGAGAACCGGAATCGAATGGATTATAGAAATCGGTGATGATACCCAGCCCTAGTGAGCAGCCTAGGCCTGAGAGAAGTGGATGTAGCTGTGGGTAATAAGAAAAGATGAAAAGAACTATTGATAACTTTTTTGTTAAGTTAAGGCCTGATCCGTCTGAAATTCATAGCCAGTGCTCTGACACGGTGCCATCAATCTTTGAATGCTGAAAAAGCACAGTGTATCTAGGAAACACATTATATGCTGCAATAAATGCACTGCC